TTTTAAATTCATTTATCAATGAACTAAGTAAATACTATGTATGTACTAGTATAGAAAAAGAATCTTCGTAACGAGGATGATGTGGAAAAATTTATTATTTAGACTTAATNTAACAAGAATTTAATAATGGTAATTTATTTAATTTATTTAATTTAACTAGATTTACTTTAAAAGCAAATGTAAAACAAGTAGTACGTTATATGAGTGCAAATGTCGTACATAAACAAAATAATCTCCAGAAAGATATGGAAAAGATCAACATAAAACTGAAACATAACATTCCACGATGGTATAAATTAGTGAGTACAAATGCAACAGACATGTATCTTATAAATGACGTTGTAGCTAAGCAATTTATCTCGTTAATTCAAGTTGATATAAAAAAAAATGCATCACATGTAATAGAATTAAATCCTGGTCTGGGTTTTATAACTCAGCAGTTGCTCGAGATAGGTATCCCATTTGTTTATATGTATGAAAGGGAAATTAAATTCATCGATATATTAACCAAGTTACATAATAAATTTCCTAATAAATTAAGTCTGCAAAATTCAAATCTTTTTAATTTATCAAAATCGATGCATATAAATACTACCAACAAAAGCATTCAGAATGCATATAATCTATTGAAACATGTGCAAAAAAAACAATGGAATGAGGAAAGTTGTATGCAAATAATTGGTGCAACAAATAAGGATTCATTTCTAAGACATTTAATATTAAGCGCAGTATTTCGAACATGTTTTATGGCATATGGACGACCAATATTTTATCTGGTTGTACCACCATCTATGTGGGATGTTAGTATAAATGCTTGTTAAAAAAATTTCAAAAGTATATTACTCCATATACACTGTGATGCATCATATTGTATACATATGATATTTTTAACTATTAATGCTTAATTTTTAGAATTTCACTGGTACAGCAATAAAATCGAGTAATATTATGTTTCAAACAATATTTGATTATCATGTTTTTGGAGAAGTAGATAGAAAAGCATTTGTACAATGGACCAGAGCAGATTTAGAAAAAAAATTAGCTCGACTTGTACAAAAAGATCCACCCATGACATTGATAAATAGTGAATGTAGTAAAGATGTACTACCCTATCTATATGTCGTCAAAGTTGAACCAAAACGTGAAATTCCAGTATTTCGCTATGGAAAAGAGGATTTGTTATATTTTTGGTATTTTGTTCGACATAATTTATATAAACCAAGTATGCGAGTGATACCTTCAATGGAGTAAGTAATTATGTGTCCACAATTGCGGTAAATATTAGGTACATATTAAATTATTAAATGTAAAACTAATTAATTTTTTCAGGAAATTAATACGAGGTTGTGGTGTGCGACTAATAGCTTTAAATATGAATGTGTTTACTCAGTTCAATGATTTGAGCCTTAAACAAATACAAGATCTTTATTTAGAATTTCGTTCTTGGCCAGAATTTAAAGAAAGCATATATACATCAAATGTAGCTGATGTTAAGTCCATGTACGATAGTTATTTAGCAGCAGAAGAAGAAAATCACAAAACCATCATTACTAAATAATTGATTCTGAGACTGGAAAACTTGTTGTTTTTTATTGAAAATATATTAATATGAACTTTAATTATGTAAAAAATATAATTTGTTATTATAAATCTAGAAAAGTATTTTTATATTTGTGGAATCTCTTACATTTAATTGTATGTAATAATACATGCAACAGTAGTTGGAAACAGTGATTGGCTAATGATTTTAATACTCACTAGTGATTGGTTAATGTTTTCATTTCTCTTATTTTGAATTATGGCTGACCTTGAAATCTCAGGGGCAGTCAGGTCATTCAATGAAAAGTATATATATATATATATATATATGTACATACATATATATATATATATATATATATATATATATGTATAAGTTAGTAATTAGTTTTATATTTGTATAGTTTAATATGTATTATATATATATATATATAT